CCGTAGGCATCCTTAGAAATCCGTGGGCATAGTTAAGCATCCTCAGGAATCCTTAGGAGTCCTTAGGATTCCATTGGATCCTAAGGCCGTTGCCACTGCGACTGTCATTGCGAATGCGACTGCGCCTGCGAGAACAGCAGAATTCTACAACTGGATTCTCACCTGAATCTTAAGGGAAATGCTTCCAGATATGCTTGTACACATCGCTGTTAGGTTGCTTTGCCGGGATAATTTTATCCCAGAGCCAGGCCTTAACTAACGCGCCGCCTGCAGCCCACTCGCGACTGGGGTGCTAACAATTGTCGCACTCGCTCGATTGCTCCTGCTCCAAACACCTCCCCCCCTTGCCGCCCCATCCCTCCCCCGCTCTTCCTTCCCTTCCGCCTACCATCTCGCATGACTCCCCTTTCCTCCCTAGCTTCCCCCCTTCGTTTCTCCTCTCATCCTCTCCCGCTCTCTCCGTGTACTTCGCACGCGCATGGCGGGAGACCTCCGCGACGCGAGCAACCCGACCAGCGCAACGTGCCGCGCATGGCGCGGCGCGGCGCGCTTGGGCAAGACCTCATACACGCACAGACCGGAGGTCCCGTGAGCGGCACCAGCAACGCAACGCCACGCTCGCGGCACCACGCACGCCGCGCACACGGCGCCGCGCACGCGGCACCGTACGCAAACACCGGGCACCTCGCGCGGCAGCACGTACGTGGCGCTATTTGCACGGTACCGCGCCGGCACGCAGCACGACGCGCATCGAACTGTGCACAGCGCGCAAGGCACACACGCGCACGCGAAAGAAGCACCGCGCAACACCGCGCCCGCAACTCCAGGCACACGACACCACAAATTCAGCGTCGGCTGCAGAAGCGGCGGTGCGTTCGCGGCACCTCGCGTGCGGCGCCGCGAGGAAACGCCACAACCTCGGCGCCGACCGCGGGGCGCCGCGCGAACGGCACAACCCGCGCTGCACCGCGCACGCGGCACAGCACGCAACGCAGATGCCCAACTTGGGGTGCACGTCGGCGACGCGACAGCAGCTGATGAACAAATCTCAACAAAAAACAAAAAATACAAAAATCTGGCGGGGGATTTACAAAATCGTTGCCAAAATCGGCTTGGGGGACGGGGCCTCATGAGAGAAGGGAATGGGGCGAAGGGAGTAGTGAGCAACGAATACTGAGTAGCGGCTAGTGAAGAGTATCCGGTGGCGAATAGCGAGAGGGGGGTAGCGAGTAGTGAGTAGGGAGCAGTGGAGACTGTGTAGGGAGTAGTGAGTAGCGAGCACTGAATAGTGACTGAATAGTTATTAGTGAATACTGGATAGTGAGTAGTGATGAGTGAGTAGTGAATAGGTGGGTAGTGAGTGGTGGGTAGTGAGCAGTGAATTGGGAATAGTGAGTATAGAGTAGTGAGTCAGTAGGAGGTAGTGGGTAGTTGGTAATGAGAAGTGGGTAGTGAGTAGTGAGTAGCGGGGGGTAGGTGGTGAGTAGTGGGTAATGAAAGGTGAATACTGTTTGGGGCTCGGGTTCGGGATTGGGGTTAGGGTTAGGGGTTAAGGTAAGGGTGAGGACTATGTGTTCGGGGTGGTAGGGGCCGGGTTCGGGAACCAGGGGGCGCCGTGGCGAAAGGGGGAGGGGGGCGGGGGGGGAGGGGAATTGGCGGCCAAAGGGGGGGAAGGGGGGGTCGGGACCCCCTCCCTTTTGAAAGGGGGGGAGGGGGGGCGGAGGGTTCCCCGACGACGGGCCGGGAAAAGGAGGGAAGGTGGGGGGCCCCCGACGGCGGACCGGGAAGGGGGAGGAGAGGGGGGGGTCCCCGACAACGGATCGGGGGAAGGGGCGGGGGAGGGGTTCCCGACCCCCCACCCCCCCTTGGGGAGATCCAGCGGCGCGCCCTCGTACTTGACTCAACCTCTTTCGCGCTGCGCTAATGCGCTGGCGCGGTGAGGGGGTTTATCGCAAGCGGCTGGGTAACACTCGGAAGACGCCTCGAGTGGCAACACCATGAACAGGCCCCGGTGATCAAGAAGGCCTTGGTACCCAACTGGAGGACCAACGCGCCGGATCCCTCCATAGTGCGGCAGACACTTGGGCGCCTGGAGCGCCCCCCCCGGCGCTCCCAGACGCGGCCGAAGCCCCTGCGCAATTGACAAGTTGCACACCCGAGACGACGTCCGGGGCATTCCTCCTCCTTCTCCCCCTCTTTCTCCTCCTCATCCGCCTCCGCCGCCTCCTCCTCATCATCATCCGCCTCCGCCGCCTGTTCCCTCTGTTGCTGGGTTGTGAGCTGGCCACGTCCCTCATCATCCTTTCAATCAGAATGAGGGGGCCGAACGGTAATTAATTGTCCCTGGGTGCGTGTCTGAATAAAGAATTCGTGGTGGGAATTATGTTTGTTGCGTTGTTGTGGTTGTTGAACCCTCACTTCGGAAGAAGAATTATTGTTGATCCCCCCACCGGTGCACATTTTATTTGTTCAATTGAAGTGCCTGTTCGGGGGGTTCGCACCCTGTTTTTGTTGGTTTCGGAAGCTTTTGATGCTCAAATTGTGCCCCTGGCCCACGGGTTACAACAGCAACGGCTCCCGCCTGAGACTTCCTCACAAGTTAGCCCGGACCCCCGCTGCGGCCTGAGACTTCCTCGGATTTTATTCAGGAGTCGCGCTCTCGTTTTGGATTTCCTCCCAATGTATTCAGGAATCGCTCTCCCGGCGCTCAGGAGTTGCGCTCTCGCGGGCTGCTTTTTCATTTCCCGCAATGTACTCGAGCGCCGCGCCCCCGACACTCAGGCACCCAGGCGTCGCGGTCACGCTAAGGACTCCCTCACAGATTGCTTAGGAATCGGGATATCGCTGGCCTTCGCGGCCCCCTCGCTGCCTTTCGTGGCCCCGTTGCAGCCCTTCGTGGCCCCCTCGCTGCCCTTGGTGGCCCCATATATGTATGCCCTTCGTGGCCCCCGCTCGTTCGCGCCCGTCGTGGCCCCATATGCATGCCCCTCGTGGCCCCGCTGTCGCCCTTTGTGGCCCCCTCACTGCCCTTCGTGGCCCCGTTGCTGCCCTCGGTGGCCCCGTCCTTGCCTTCCGCGGCCCAATAACGTATGCCCTTCGTGGCCCCCGCTCGTTCGCGCCCGTCGTGGCCCTATGTGCATGCCTTTCTCGGCCCCTCTGTCGCCCTTGGTGGCCCCCTCGCTGTCCTACGTGGCCCAGTTGCTACCCTCAGTGGCCCCGTCGTTGCCTTTTGTGGCCCCGCAATATCTGCACTTCGTGGCCCTCGCTCGTTCGTGCTCTTCGTGGCCCCATACGCATTCCCTTCGTGTCCCCGCTGTCGCCCTTCGTGGCCTACTTCGTGCCCTTCGTGGCCCTGCTGTCGTTTTCTCTCTCGCTTGCGGTTTCGCTCGTCGTCGTCGTCGCCGTCGTCGACGTCGTCGTCGTCGTCGTGGTCGGTCCCCTGTCCGTCACTCTTGGGGTCAGGTTGCCGCCGATCAGCGCTGCCGCTGGCCAGGCCGACGGTCCGCGGTCGCCCCGCCGCTTGCCAGCGCCCGGCCTGCAGGGAAGAAAAGACTACCCCCCAAAAGGGGTACGATCGAAGACGAAAAGGGCGGGTATCGAGGGTCTGGCAAATACGCGTTAACGGACACTCGGGCAGATCAGAGCGAACAGTCTTAAAGTGTTGTTATTGTTATTATTGTTGTTATTATTGTTGTTGTTGTTCTTGTTGTTGTTGGTTGTCGTCGTCCCACCCGCGACCCACCCCCGACCCACCCCGCGACCCACCCCGCGGCCCACCCCGCGACCCACCACCCCGCGACCCACCCGCGACCCACCCGCGACTCAACCCCGCGACCCACCCGCGACCCAACCCCGCAACCCACCCGCGACCCGCCCGCGACCAACCCGCGATCCACCCCGCAACCCACCCGCGACCCATCCCGCGACACATCCGCGACCCATCCGCGATCCACCCGCGACCCACCCCGCGACCCACTCTCAAGGGAGGAAAAACCACCCGGACCCGACAATTGACGTTTACTAAACCGCCCTGGGCGCTTACTAAAAAGCCGTGCCCTGTTCGATTCAAACCTTGTGTGCGTTTACTAAACGGCTTCGCTTGTCGCGGTGAATATTACGGGGTGGATTTTCTGCCCTCTACACCCGCGACCCAACATCCACCCACCCGCGACCCACCCGCGACCCATTTGCGACACACCCGCGACCCACCCGCTACCTACCCACATTGGTTTAACGAAAAAATCGGCGCCTGCGGCGGGCTTGTTATATAATTTGTGAAACTTTGGCGCCTGCGGCGGGCTTCTCCAGAGTCTCGCTGACTGCCGACGTCCCAACCCCCCCTCACTCTTATCCGCATCTGCGGGATGCTACGTTATCTTCCGCTTCCTCCCTCGTGGTCCTCCTCCGCCGCCTCATCCCTCTTGGTCACCGCCTCTTCCTCCTCGTCCACCTTTTCCCGTCTCCACATCCTGTTTCGCCTCCATATCATCCACCCTCCCCCTCCTCATCCTCGTCCTCCCTCCTCCTCCTCCTCCTCCTCCTCCTCCCCTCCTCCTCGCTCCTCCTCCGCGTCGTTCCCGGCTCCTCCGAATCTTCCTCCTCCTCCTCCTCCTCCTCCGCCTCCTCCTCCTCGCTCCTCGCTCCTCGCGCCCCTCCTCCTCCTCCTCCTCGCTCCTCGTTTCTCTCCTCGCGCCTTGCTCCTCGCTCCTGGGGGAGAGGAGGAAGAGGTCGACAGCGAGGGGACCAGGAGGAGCAAAAAGAGAAGGACCCCACCACCGGAGGCATCACAACATCGCGGGACGGCGGTCGCCGCGAGTGGCCAAGCGACAAGGCCCCTCGCTCGAATTCGCTTGATGCGTCCCCGACTCAAATCAAAGGAACGGCCCGAAAACCAGAGCCGCCTCATGAACCCAAAGTGTTTTGTTGGAGTCTCGACTGTATCCCCCCCTCTCCCACTCTTCCCTCTCCTCCTGGAGGCGTGCGTGGCGAGGACGGGGTTCCTCGCCACCCGCACGCGTGCCGCAGACGGCGCCCTTCGGCAGTTTCTTTCCCTGCGCGCTCAGCAGCTGGCCTATGCTCTCGACGATGGCGCTCCTGCGCAGCGCGACCCCATGTCACGCGTTGGCAGAATAAACGGCGATCTCGAAAAAAAACCTACCCCAAACAACCATCGATTCTCCGGAGTCGATGGGGGGCGGGGGTCGGGTTCGGATTCCGCCACGTGCCCGACGAATTCCGAACCCTACGCCCGCCAGCCATCGAGTTGCCCGGCTCGTGGATCGGCGAGGGTGGGGTTCGGATGTCGCCGCCCGCAATCATTGTTCCTTGTCCGACATGCTCCCAGCTGTTCGCTCCGCTGTGCAGACTCCGGGGCCCTCGGGGGCGCTCTGTAAGCCACCTGCGCCTCCGCGGGAAAGTTTCGGGCGTTGCCCGAAGCGGTCCTGGCCCACAGTGCTTCCAATTGTTCGCTGCGTCTCGCACCTTTAGGGGCCCTCGAGATCGTTTTGGTCAATACTTCTGGCAACAATCGTTCCGCGCGGGGATGGCGCCAGGGTGTTGGCAACGCTTGGAAGCGGTGGGGCACCTCGGGGCGGGGGTGCGCTGCGATCGCCGCAATACGCGCACGGGCACCAGCATGTGGAGGGTGGAGGGGGGTCCAGGCGGAAACGGGACAAATTACAGGCAACCAAAACCAAGTCCAACCACCTTAGGACAAGTGGCAATCTCTTTGGTATTTATTCCAACCACTTTCAAGTATATTCCAACAGACTCTATGAGACACCACACGAAAAACATCTGAAAGGCGTTACACGAACGTCTTGGATGCGTCGCGAGAGCGTCCTCGAGGCGTCGTGCTGGCGTCTTAGAAGCATCGTGAGGGCGTCTTAGGGGCGTCGTGCGGGTGTCCTAGAGGCGTCGCACGGGCGTCTAAGAGGTGTCTTAGAGGTGCCGTGCGGACGTCTTAAAAGCGTGTTAGAGGCGTCGTGACGGTGTCTGAGAGGCGACGTACGGGCGTCCCAGAGGCGTCGCACAGGCGTGTAAGAGGCCTTGTAGAAGCGTCGCGCGGGCGTCTTAGAGCCTTAGAGGCGTCGTACGGGCGTCTTAAAGGCGTCTTCGAGGCGTCGTGCGAGCATCTTCCAAGTGTCGCCCGAGCGTCCTAGAGGCGTCGCACGGGCGTCTTAGAGGCGTCGTACGGGCGTCTAAGAGGCGTCGCACGGGCGTGCTAGAGGCGTCTTGCGGGTGTCTTAGAAGCGTCATGCGGGCGTCTTAGAGGCGTATTACGGGAATCTTGTCCTCCGGGCGTATCTGAAGGGTGTCGCTGAAAGGCGTCTCTGAGAAGCGTCTCTGAGAGGCGTCTCTGAGAGGCACCTTGGGGGAGTTTCGGAGAGGCGTCTCTGAGAAGCGTCTCTGGAAGGCGTCCCTAAGAGGCGTGTTAGAAGCGTCTTGCGGGCGTCTCTGAGAAGCGTCTCTGAGAGGCGTCGCTGGGAGGCGTCTCTAAGACGTGCCTTACAGGCGTCTTACGGGCGTCTCTGACAGGCGCTTTACACGCGCCCCTGACAGGCGACTCTGAGAGGCGTCTCACAGGCATCTCTGAGTGGCTTCCCTGGAAGGCGTTTTACAGGCGTCTCTGAGATGCGTCTCTGACAGAAGTTTCACAGGCGTCTCCAGGGGGCGGCCCTGAGAGGCGTCATACGAGCAGCTCTGCGAGGCGCTTTATAGGCGGCTGTAAGCTACCTTATACATGCGTCCTACAGGATCCTACAATATCCGGAGGAGTATAGAAAAACGCAGGAACATACAGGGCACTGTGGTAAAGATGATGTTGATGATGATGCTGCTGCTGATGATGGTGACAATGATGGTGATGATGGCCAACCTATGGTGATGATGATGATGATGCTGATGATGATGATGATGATGATGATGATGATGATGATGATGGTAGTGATGCTGGTGATGGTGGTAGCGGTGGTGCTTACATGATTGTGATGCTGATGATGGTGCTGATGATGAAGATGGACCCGTGAATCATCAACCCTGATCTTGTTGTACCCTTAAGCCCTTCAGCCCTGAAGCCCGTAAAACCTAGAACCCTGACGCCCTTCAAACCCTGAAACCCCTTCAGGCCTTCAATCCTCAAACATCTAAACCCTTAACCCTTTCGAACTCTTCAGCCTATGATGCCTTGAACCCGCAAGCCTGGAAACCCTAACACCGAGAGCCCTTCAAGGCCGTAAATCCTTAAGCACCTAAACCCTGAACCCTTTTCAACCCTTACACCCTTAAGCCCTTGAACTATTGAGCCATTAAGCTTCTAAGCACTTAATGTTTAAAGAAAGCCCTTCAACCCTGATGTCCTTAACCCCTTCAACCTTGAAACGCTTAAACGCTCAAACCCTTAAACCCTTAAGCTTTAAAACCCTGAAACCCTTGAACACGTGAACCCTTGAGTCCCCGCAATAGCGGCCCAGGACAAACCCGGGTACACCGGGTACACATTCCAACCCGAACAGTCATGCCGGCTTCTGGAATCCATGTGCAGACGTAAGCAGATTATTTGGGAATGGAAAACCCGAACATGCCTAACAGTTAGAAGCATGCAGTCACGCCACTTGGCCGCTTGGAATTAGAACCAACGTTTTCTTCGAACAGGTTGGAACATTCATCAACTGATTGAGATTAGTCCCAACCTCGTGGATTTAATACCGCATGCGGGTCTAGCCCAACCCCACACATACGACCGTTACCGTCATCCCCGGGGGGGCAGGCAACGACCGTTACCCGCCAGAGGACAACACAAACCAATTCTCAACAATCCCCATGTTTGAAAAAAAAAGGGTGCTCTGGAAGCCACCTGCGCCCCCGTGGGAGAGCTGGGGTCACTTCTGGCAACGCTCGGCCCTTTCCAGCGTGCTCAACCCTGCGGGGATTGTGGTCGGGACGTCCAAGAGGGGGGCGTCCAAGAGGGGGGCGGTCGCAAATCACAACCAGAGGCACGTGCGCGGGGGGGGGACAGGAAACGCTTTGCAATACCACCAGCCCTGGACGGCGCGAGTAGTGGGCGCTCTCTCTTCCCCCCTTTTTTCTCCCACCGGGGAGGGGTTTACCACTGCTCTCCTCATGTTAGCCGGCGCGGAACCCAATCCGTGCGTCTTTAGCAATATTCGTTGTGCAATATATGTGGTGCAACCTGCGTGGTGCAATATATGTTGTGAAATCTATGTTGTGCCATCTACGTGGTGCAATCGATGTTTTGTGCGGTCTACGCGGTGCAATCTATGTGGAGCAATTCACTTGCCGAACTTGAAATTGCCAACTCCACTGCTCGCGCAATCATCCCACCCCCCCACCCGCAACTTGGTTTGCAAAACACATGCGGGACCGAGCACAAATATCGTTCCGGGGTCGTCTTGGAGCCCTCGGGGGCGTCTCAAGAGCGCCCCAAGAAGGCTGGAGAAGCAAGACGGCCGACGACGACGACGACGACGACGGCGGCGACGATGACGACGCCGACGTCGACGACGACGAAGACGACGACGCCGACGCCGACGCCGACGACGAAGACGACGACGCCGACGCCAACGAAGACGACGCCGAGGGAGGAGGGAGGACGACGACGGCGACAACGACGACAACGACGACAACGACGACAACGACGACAACGACGACAACGAGGGAGGAGGGAGGACGGCGACGACGCGGACGACGAAGAAGGAGGAAGGACGGCGACGCCGACGACGACAACGACGAGGGAGGAGGGAAGACGACGACGAGACGACGACGACAACGACGACGACGACAACGGCGACGAAGTAGGAGGGACGACGACGCGACGCCGACGACTGACGACGACGACGACGAGGGAGGAGGAGGAAGGACGACCACGGCGACGACGACGACGGAAACAACCACGACGCCAAAGAGGACGACGACGACGACGAACACGAGGAAAGACACAGGACGACGTAGGCGACGACGACGAAGACGACGCGGGAGGAGGGAGGACGGCGAAGACGACGACGACGACGCCGCAACAGCGCGCGCGCACGCTTTTCTTGAAAATCAGTGTTGCGAAACCTTGTGTTTTGGTATGTTTTTTGGACACATGATTTCGAAATCGTTCTGAAACCTATGGGTTTTGAAGGATTTCGGCGAACGCGCGCGACGACGCGCGCGTCAGCACTTCGTCCCATTTGTTGCAGAGGATTCTCGCGACGGCACACGCGCAAGGGCGTTCGACAGATTTCGACATGCGCGCGCGACGCCTGTTTGGTAGCATGTTGTGAACAGATTGAAAACCATGGTTTTCTTAAGATTTCGCAAGAGCTCGCGCGTAAGTTTGTTTTAGCAAATCAGTGTTACGAAACCCTGTGTTTTTTTTATGTGTATTGGTAACTCGATTGCGAAATCCTTCCGGCACGGAAGGTTTTTGAATAATTTCGACATGCGCGCGCGACGACGCCCGCGTGCGCACTTCGTCCCATCTTTGGCAAGGCAAAGGGAAGGAAAGGAGGGACGCTGAGTACGTGCCGTCCGCGCGCGGCGGCGTGCCCTAAGGGCTCAGCGGTTGATCAGACCATCTCGCTACTGGGCGCCCGCGGGCTCTGCGGCTGTCAAGATCCCAGGTCTGCACTCGTCGGGCCCCGCGCTCGGCGCTCATGGTGCCCAGCCGTTGTCTCCAGCTCTGCAGTCTTGCGATGCGCTCGTCAGTCCAGCTGGGCATGTGGAGCGTCTCCATTACTTCCCGTGTTTCGGCCGTGACGCGCTGAACCCAACGCACCCTCGTTTCGACATCGCCTTGCGCCGAAAGAATGCGCCGCCGGCCCAAAATTGCTCGGGCCATTGTCATTTGCGCCGCCTTCAACTTTGAATCCCGCCCCGCTGTCATAGTCCAACTGCCACGGCCACGCAGCGCAGCCGGTGTCACCACTGAGCGAAACAGCTGCATGCGAAGATTGACAGGTATCGACTTGTCTGTCAACTCCTGTTTGAACGCGCCGAACTTCGCCCACGCCTTCTTGATGCGGTGCTCGAGCTCTGCGTCGTGGACACTTGTTAGTGTCAAAGCTCTTCCCAAGTACATGTTGCTGCCCCCC